CGCTGCTTCCACCAGCCCGTACTCCGCCTCCCTCTGAATAACCTGGTCCTCGCGGTAGGATGAGTGACATCGGAGCAGAGCCGTCTGGGCGCAAATGCAGGGGAAAGGGGAGGGAGTGAGTGGGATGATGGGCGTCTCCGCCAGCAGCACTGCCATGGCCTCTACTCTACTGCCCCGTTCTCCGCTTCCCTCTCAACCACTTGATCCTCACGGTATGGTATGACGAGTGGAAACGCAGTAGGGCCGTCCGGGGGAGCAGGAGAAGGCGAAGGGGGAGGAGTGGGAAAGGAGGGGATGAATCATGTCAAAATCTCCTCCCGCTCCCCACCATCTCCTCTCCGCCAGCGGCACTGCCACTGCCACGGCCTCCACCAGCCCGTTCTCCGCCTCTCTTTGGATAACCTTATCCCCACGATAGGATGAGTGCATGCGGAGCAGAGCCGTCTGGGAGAGACGAGGGGGGAGTGGGGAGGGGCAGGGATATGGTGGGGAGCGGGATGGGAGGGGCGTGAAGGAGGAGGATTGGCATTTCTGCGAGTAGCACTGCAATAGCTTACCCCAGCCCTTGAAAATGTGTTTAGAAGAAGGGATTGTGCATTGAAAGTTTGAGGTCCTGAATCTCGGGTTTTATGTATGAGGCGTCTCAAAAACCGCGAGTCATGAGACGATTTTTGAGGCGCCTCGAAAATTGTGCATTGAAAGTTTGAGGTTCTGAATATCGGGTTTTATTTAGGGCTGGGGGGGGGGTAGACATGTCAAAATCAAGCAAGGTCATTTAGGTTACAAAAAAGGAGGGAAAGTGGCAATTGGTGGACAAGTTTCAGTACGAGTATTTTTGGCTGCTTGGACAGGAGTGGCAAATCATTTCTCGATTTCCCAATCCTACAGAAAGTCGTTAGTTTAGCTGTAACACTAATGCCTTCCCTGACAAAAAAGAAAAGAAAAGAAAATAAAAAATTATGGGAGGACAGGCAGCATACCGCCGTGTCTCTCCAGCCCATCGCAGCGCAGGAAGCCACCGCCGGCCAATAGGGCTCAAGAACCTCTGGAGGAATGGCCTGGTTGGAGATGGGAGATGACAAGAGGGGAGAGGAGGGAGAAGAGGAGAGAGAGGAGGGAGAGGAGGGGGAAAAGAGGAGGGAGAGTAAGGGACGAAGAGGGGCGAGAGGAGGGAAAACGGAAAGCATGTCAAGGGACTGAAAAATCAGCGAGAAAAATGAGACAAGGGTGGGAAGAGGGATTAAGCGGATGGGAAGAGAGGGTAGTTAACGGGTGAGAAGAGAGTGGGGAGAGGGAGGGAAGAGGGTACATGAAACCCTAGAAAATCCACCCGCCCGCTCACCTCTGATTGGCTCACCTCTGATTGGCTCACCTCTGATAGGCCACCTCTGATTGGCTCACCTCTGATTGGCTCATTTGATCCCGCAAGGACCGGAGGCATGCTGACGTGGACGTGTTGCAAGGAGGTAGCGACGCGTTGTATTGCTGTTGGGAGCGGGTTGGTGGGGAAGGGGAGGGGTGTGTGGGGAGGGATGGGGGGATGGACAGGAAGCAAGGGAATGCGGAAGCAAAAAACAGTTCACGTCAGCAGTGCTGCACGAGATGGCAGGGTGAAGAAGGGTTATGAGAGGTGTGGCCGGGTGTGGCCGGGTGTGGCCGGGTGTGGCCGGGTGTGGCCGGCTAGGGTTGTGGGGAGGAGAAGATGGGGTGCGGAGAAGGAGGAGGAAGAGGAAGGACAGGTGGGGGTGGAAGAGAAGCACAGAAGTTTTTACTCACAGCAAGCCAGGAGACGAAGGGCTGACAGGTGGGGGTGGAAGGAGCAGCAGAGGGAGGAGGCAGGAGGAGGGGGTAGGAGGAGGGCGGAGAGGAGCGGAAGCTGCTGTTGCTGCCACCCCTGCCACCTGCCTCCATCCCTCTGATACCCCCTACTCCTCTTGCTCCCCTGAATGCACTGTCCACGTCAGCACTGCCACCCATGCGAGTGTCCATGTCATTGTCCACGTCAGCAGAGCCAGGTGTGTGGTGGGGGAGGAAGCAGAGGCGGAGGAGGTCCCAGACCGCTGCCAGCTCACCCTGGGTGATGCCACGTGGCAGAGACTGGTTGGTAGGCTGGCAGGAGGAAGGGAGGGAGCGTTGGCAGGGTGGCAAATAGATTGAAGTTGTTGCAATGCAATGAAAAAGAGAATTGACTTGTGGAAGTGAAACGACACGTGAAGTGAAATGCGATCCGGAGCAGCTGAAATCGAGGCCGTTAACCCCACTTCATCCCTTCCATTACATGCAACCACCTCGTCTCCCCATGCGCCCAGCCTCACGATTCTCAGAAGTACCATCAACGCCCCTCCCCCCTCTCTTTCCCTCAGAGAACCTACCTCGTCCCCCCATTCCTCCCTCTCTTCAACATCTATCGCTGCAAACGGGTCAGCGGCGGAGATCCCGAGGGAGTGGGGCGAGGCGCGCGCAGCTGCCAGCGTGGACTGGGAGGACGGTGGAGAGAGGAGCCTGCTGACGTGGCGAGACCACCTGCTGACGTGTCGCCATCTGGAGGAGCGACACAAGGATGAGAACGGAAACTTTTTTCTCCCTCTCTCGAAGGAACTACATTTTGAGCGAAAGAAAGGAAGAAACAACTTTTGAAAGTTCATTTGACAACATGACATTTATACAATTGAAACAATATGTATGGCATGCCGAGAATAGAAAGCTAATTGAAGTGACGTTTACGACTCAATGTCTCAACTCAAGGGTGGTTCATGTCATGTCACTGCACCAGGCTGAACCCCTCCCCCTCCCCCCTCCCCCTCCCCCTTAACCTTTGAGGCGCGTCAAGAGTAAAAAACTTAGCCATACGCGCTTCGAGACAGTCTCAACACACGACCTACCTCTCGCGCCGCTCGTCGATTTCCGCGTCTTCCGCTTCCTCCGCCATTTCCGCCGCAATCGCCGCCTGCAGTCGCCCGTACAATGACGACGCCCCCGCTGCGATCTGCCGGTGGAACGATGACGTGTCAGCCCACGTCACGCTGACAATTGCCGACCCGCGTCCCGCCACGTCATCATGCCGGTCGTCCGACCTTCCTTGAAACGCGCCGTCGGACGCGGCGACAGATGCGGCCGGAGCGCAGATCAGAAGCTCGTTGCCCAATCCCCACTCGATCTCGACGGGGAATGCGGCGGGAAAGGAGGATGACGGCTCGGTTTGGAGGAATCCAGGGCGGTACTGCCCTAACGGCCCCACCATATTCGCCTTCTACGCCAGCCAAGTCAGAGGCTCTGGCTTTATATCGAAAGGGTCGCGCGGGGCTCGTTATAAGCAAGACGAAGGTGGGAGTACACGGGAGATTCTGTTCGCCGTGCTACAAACGAATGCGCTGGAGGCGAACAAACGGGAGCTTGGAGGGAATGACAGTAAAAACGGTCTCCGATATAAAGCTTCGTTTTGAAAGTCGACCCCACATGCTGTAGCAACATATTTTCATGGAGTGGTCTTTGCAAAGCAGTATATGAGCATGCATATACATATATATGGGCTGCTCTATCTATTATCACGAGATCCTTTCGGAAAAGTTTCGCCTGGCTGTTATATACATCTGAGAAGTTGTAAACATTTCAATAATGTTGAGCACGACACCAGTCATCATGTATTTGAGCCCTCAGAGATTCACTACACCCAAGGAAAATTCACTTCTAAGAGCGTGTTCCTACGGCCTCATATCAGGCCAACCTTGTATCAGGAATGCACAAAACACTTCAATCTCGGCTTCAATGGATTGTTTATTTTCTATTTCCTGGATGCTCGACAAAAGCCGAAGGGTGATTTCCGCATCCCTGAACCCGACAAAACAAGAATCGCCTAGGTAACTTATAGCTCCTCCGCTTCTCCCTCCCTCCCCTCCATTCCTCCCACCCCTCCTTTCCCATCCCTCTCCCCCCAGCATAATTCCGCACCTGCAAGTTACGGTAGCTTAAAGCCCCTCCTCTTCTTCCCGTTCCTCCCCTCCTCCCTCGTCTCGTCCCTCTCCTCCCTCCTCCACCTTCCCTCCCTCATTCCCTTCTTCCCGCACATACCTCCTCCTCTGCGGGTTATAAACGGAAAACTCCCCAAACTGCCGTCTCCCCAGGTGCTGCACGCCCCACCCGGGCGGCAAGAAGCGCGGCTGTAGCGCCGCTACAAACACCTCCCTCCACTGCTGTGTGAACTCCCTGATCCCCGCCTCCCCACCACCCTCCGAGAACTCAGGGTCCTTAAACTTCCTCCCCTTTTCCCTCCCCTCCCTCCCCTCCTCCCCTTCCTTCTCCCTCCCCACCCTCCCCTCCTGCCTCATCACCCTTCACATACCGCCGCCTCTGTGGATTGTAAACGGAAAACTCCCCAAACTGCCGTCTTCCCAGGTGCTGCACATCCCACCCGGGCGGCAGGAAGCGCGGCTGTAGCGCCGCCACAAACACCTCCCTCCACTGCTGCGTGAACTCCCTTATCCCCGCCTCCCCACCCCCCTCCAGCAGCAGCGCTACAACCTTTGTTCCGTGCTCCCAGTGGCCCCTTAAAGGGACTGGCTCGATGGCGGGGGTTGCAGAGAGGTTGAGTGAGGTGAGGTCAGGTGCTGCTAGTCCCAGGGTATCCTCCTCTTGAGTCTCGCAGGATTGGTCGCTCACTCCCTCACTTACTTTCTCACTCACTCCCTCACACGCACCAGCATCCGCCCCCTTGACCTCATTTCCGTCACCTGCTCCCTCTGCTTGCACAACCTCCTTTCTCCCATCCCCCTCTCTCTCTCCTCCCTCTCCCCCTCCCCCTCCACCCAGGCTAGCTAAGGCTTTCTGTAGCGCCTCCCTTTGGCCCACAATGGGCAAACCTTTTCTTTTTCCTGCCCGCACTCTGGTCCCCTTCCCCGCCTGCACCACCATCTCCAGCTCCTCGATTTTCACCGGGCTGCCTGCTGCCCGCTTCAAAACTTTCCACACGGGCAGCAGCAGCTCGCAGAGCCTGCTTTCGGGCAGCGATGCCCCGTGCCGTAAAACCGCCACTGCTGACCGGGCAGCATCATTCAAAAGAAACGCTGCCTGTACTCGCGCATCCCTTCCCCCTTTCCGCTCACCATTTGCACTCCCCTCACCCTCCATCTCCCCACCTCCCTCCTCCTCCCTACCTTCTGCCTTCTCCTCCTCTCCCACCCCTTCTCCCCCCTCCTCGCCCCCACCCTCACCCGACCCTCCGCCGAACCTCCGATCCAGCGGCGACAGCAGCAACGGAACCCCGAACCTCCTCGCCACCTCCCTCTTGAAAATCTCAGCCGCACGATGCGCCACGTCATGGCAATCAACGCACAGCAGCACGATATCATGGCTCCGGTGCGACTTCAGATGCTCGGGGAACGCGTGGCGGTAGCAGGAGGGAACGAGGCGGTAGCGCAGGTAGTGGGTGGATTCTCCGCAGGAGACGCAGCGGTTGGACTTGGACTGAATGTAGAACTCGTTTTCGTCATCTTCTGGGCGGCCCTTGGGTTGGAAGAGCAGGCGGACAGAGAGGGGTGAGGCGAGGTTGGGGGGGAGTGGGGCGGGTGGCGGGTCTGTTGCTGCAGAGGCGGTGCTATCAGCAGCGGCAGGAGCAGCACCGTCAGCAGCGGCACAGTCAGCAGCAGCAGCATCAGCATCCACATCAGCAGTAGCAGCACCAGCAGTGGAACTGGCCCCAGCAGAGACATTCTCAGCACCTGTAGTGGCAGCTGCATCAGAACCATCATCAGCAGCAGCAGATCCCACTTTCGATTCTCCCTTCGCCCCCAACCCCGTCTCCTCAGCCCCCTGCAGTGACGGCAGCATGTCAACAGTCACATACTCGGCCAAACCTCTTCCCACATACCACTCTAACTTCCTCTTATCACAGAAGCACAGCAGCCGCCCATCCCCGCTGTAGATCCGGCAGTTCTCGTACACTGGACCCTGGCAGGAGAATTTCTTTATGAAGTTGGCCCGCGCCTGGTTCGGGTCGCGTGCCCTCTGCCACCGCTTGGGCAGCCGAAAGTTTTGGTTCGGCCGGTGGTGGTGGGGGTGGGTATGGTGGTGGTGAGGGTGGTTGGGATGCTGGTGGGATGAATCAGAAGGCAAGATTCCCCCTTCCTCTGCAGAAGAACCACTGGCACCAGGACCAGCAGCAGAAGCAGCTGCAGCGGCAGCGGCAGCAGCGGAGAGGTTGCCAGAGACGGCAGCAGCAGCAGTGAGAGCGACTGCTTCTTCAAGCCACGCCTCCTGCACGGCTGCTGGCGCCCGCTGCTGAATGACCACCGGGGCGAGGAGGAACGAGATCTCTGCAAATCTGGCTTGCACTGCTGCCGCTGCTGCCACTGCCCTTTCAGCTCCCCCGTTAACTGCTGCTGCTGTCTCGTTTCGCTCTGCTGCTCCTGTTGTATCAAGCACCCCCTCGTCGCCACCTCTCACGTCGCGACACGTGGCGGTGATCAGCGCGACCAGCTCGGGAGATCGACGGACGAGAGGAGGCGAGGGGGAAGGGGAGGCGGGCTGAGATGGAGTAGCCTGTTGTTCCGCTACTGCTGCATACAAGGCAGCACCTTCTGTTGACTCAACGGTTCCACTCTCCCCTCCACTCCCGCCTCCTTGAATAGGCCGAGGAACGCCGACCTCTTCTCTCATAGAGGACGGCGTGAGAGCAGCAGCGGCTGCCATAGCCTTCCCCACGCACCCAATCAGCTCTTGACACGTGGCAGGCCGTAGGAGCGCCACGGCGACCACTGCCACGTCAGCAAGGAGGAATCGCAGGCTTTCGTCTTCTTCCCGCGCTACAGTGTCGCGCCATCTGGTTACCGCATCGAGCACGGCCCTCACTTCCCGTAACACCTGGGACCGATCCGACGTCTTCTGACCCGCTGACGTGGCAGCAGCGTCAGGTGCCGCAGAAGCAGCACCTGAACCAGCAGAATCACCTGAAGGCCCACCTGAAAGCGCGGCACCTCCCACATACCCACAGACGCCTAACAGCTGTCGGAAAAGTGCTGCCGCAGCTGCTGCTGCCGCCTCAGCACTCCCTCCTATCACCTCCCCCCTCTCTCTCCTCTCTCTCACGGCCTCTCCAACTGCACCCCTGTCAGCAGCACCAGCGCTCCTCTCCCCCGGCTTTTCATACAGCTGCAGGCACAGCGCATTGGACCTTCTCACTGCCTCCTCATACTTGGATCCGCTGCTGTGCCCCGCCCTAGACCCTCTCCTTCCTCCTCCCCCTGCTCCTGCTCCTGCTCCTGCTGCTGCCGCTGCTGCTGCTCCTCCTCCTCCTGCTGCCGCTTCTCCCTTTCCGTTTGCAAATGCTCCGTCTCCCCCCTCTCCCCCTGCGTCCGCCTGAACCAGTTCCCACCGCAGCCGGCCGGCAATGTACGGCAGGTAGTGCGAGTCCGTGCACGCGTACTGTAGCATCGCGGGCGGCAGCGGGCGGCGGCGCCAGTCGGCGAGCTGCAGGCGCTTGTCGGTGCTGACGTGGCAGTAGTGGTCCAGGAGAAACGCGAGCGAACGGTATGGCTTGTTGAGAACCGAGCAGGCCTGCAGGCAGGAAAAAAAAAAACAAATAGACAGACAGGTAAACCATTTGAATGCGTCGCTTGTCGGTGCTGACGTGGCAGTAGTGGTCCAGGAGAAACACGAGCGAGCGGTACTGCTTGTTGAGAACCGAGCATGCCTGCACATGAGAAAAAGGGAAGCAAATAAAAAAGAAGAAAAAAGTGCAAAAGAAAAAAGAGGTTAACTTCCTGAATCTGGAAGTTTCTTTGTAGCCAGAGCACATCGGAGTGTGTGCGATCGCACAAGGCCACTGCGATCCGTTTAAACACCGTGCCACCAGTGGTCCAGGAGGAACGCGAGCGAGCGATACGGCTTGTTGAGGACCAAGCACGCCTGCAGAAAGGGAGCAAAAAGAAAAGGAGGGAAAGGCGGCCGCAATGAAGGAGAAAAAGACACAAGCAGAGTAGCGGTTTGGTGTGGTGTGGTGCGGTGTGAAGAGGTTGACTTGACTGTATAGATGTGTCAAACAGGCTCAAACAGTGTAGATGTGCAAGTCCTGTTGCAGCCACGCACACACCATCGTGCAAATGCTGCGTTGCGATGCCATGCCACGTGGCACATGCTTGTATACACAAGGTTTTGCACACGCGTGCTGACCCGTGCTGTGTCAAAGAGGTTGACAGTGTAGATGTGGAAGTCCCGTTGCAGCCGGAGCACGTCCGAGTCACTCCCTTGCTCATGCAAGGCCCACACCACACGTGCTCACCCGGGCAGTGTCGAAGAGGTTGACAGTGTAAATGTGATAGTCCCTCTGCAGCCAGAGCACGTCCGAGTCGGCTCCGTGGAACAGCTTGGTGACAGCCGGGCTGGCAAAGACTGGCCGGGCTGAGACCAAACATACCCCTGGCTAAGGCCACATGCAGGCATACTCATGCTCACCCGTGCCGTGTCAAAGAGGTTCACAGTGTAGATGTGGAAGTCCCGTTGCAGCCAGAGCACGTCCGAGTCGGCTCCATGGAACAGCTTTGTGACGGCCGGGTTGGCGAAGACAGGGCGGAGGGCGTCCCCTATGTGGTCATGCAGCGCAATGGCGTCGATGATATAGTCCCTGCCGTCTGGGGTTGAGATCTGAGTGGGGTGAGACAAGCAGGGAGGCAGGGTAAGGGGAGAGAGGGTGGTAGCTGGCAATAGGGTTGGCAAAGACGGGCCGGAGGGCGCCCCTATGTGGTCGTGCAGCACAGTGGTGTCAACAATAAAGTCCCTGCTGTCTTGAATAAAGATCTGGGTGGGGGGATAGGGGGTGGAGGGGGCTTCATGATCGTCAAGTGGTCGCTTTTGAGACGTCTCAGAACCAACCTTCTTTCATGTTGTCATGAAGCAATGGCGTCAACCACAAGCTCAGGGAATTCATGTCTGACCCGCATACAGTCGGGCAGCGCAATGGCATCACGCACAAACTCCTGGTGCCTGGTGCTCAGTGGATGTACTATACCTGGTGGAAGGATTTTTTGAAGTCTAAAAAAGTCCCTGTCACGCACAAAGTCCTGGTGCCTTGTGCCTGGTGCTCAGTGGATGTACTATACCTGGTGGAAGGACTTCGACGCCGTTATGGGGGACAACAGTGGGCCCATTCCCTCCGTGCATGACCTCGTTTCTGACGAAGGCCCCTCGCCTTCTCTGGCCAAGAAAGTGTGTACCGGTGAAGCCTCGTCTTCGCGTGCCCCCACTCCTCCCCCTGCTGCTCCCGCGCCAGATCTGGATGCTGAACGCGAAGGTGTCCCTGACATCACGCTTAACGGTGCAAAAAACCAGCTCGCACCGCAGCCTGTGCTGGTCGGCCCATTTCAACGCATCCGTCGAAATCGTGGTACTGTTGGTGTCATCGTGAATTCTCTGGCGCGGTGCATTCTGTTGGCTTTTGCACTGTTACGCGTGATGTCAGGGACAATTTTGGGTTCAGCGCCCAGATCTGGTGCGGGAACAACAGCGAGCGGGGGTGCGAAGACGAGGCTTCACCTTCTTAGTCAGAAAGGCGAAGGGTCTTCGTCAGAAACGAGGTCATGCACGGAGGGAATGGGCCCATCTTTGTCCGCCATGACGGCGTCGAAGGCAGGAGGAACAGAGCAGCTGGCAGGAGGAACAGAGCAGCTGGCAGGCGGAACAGAGCAGCTGGCAGGCGGAACAGAGCAGCTGGCAGGCGGAACAGAGCAGCTGACAGGAGGAACAGAGCAGCTGGCAGGAGGAACAGAGCAGCTGGCAGGAGGAACAGAGCAGCTGGCAGGCGGAACAGAGCAGCTGGCAGGCGGAACAGAGCAGCTGGCAGGCGGAACAGAGCAGCTGGCAGGCGGAACAGAGCAGCTGACAGGAGGAACAGAGCAGCTGGCAGGAGGAACAGAGCAGCTGGCAGGCGGAACAGAGCAGCTGGCAGGCGGAACAGAGCAGCTGGCAGGCGGAACAGAGCAGCTGGCAGGCGGAACAGAGCAGCTGGCAGGCAGAACAGAGCACCTGGCAGGAGGTCACTCACGGAGGGAATGGGCCCACCTGGATCAAGGCAGTGAAGCCGAGGAAGGAGCGGTGGCTGTGCTGCTCTGTGTCCACTGCAAATTCGTCCTGGCTCTCTAGCAACGGACCCACCCACCCAACGCACAGACCCACCCAACGCACCTGGATGAGAGCAGTGAAGCCGAGGAAGGAGCGGTGGCTGTGCTGCTCTGTGTCCACTGCAAATTCGTCCTGGGTTTCAAGAAGAGCTGCTAGGGATGCTAGCTGCTGCTTGGTGGATACCCAGTGGAAGGAGGAGGAGGAGGACGAGGAGGAGGGTGCTTGGGAAGGGAGGACCAATGAGGTTGTGACACCTGGGTCATTCAGAGCTGGTGGTGCTGTGGTGCCAGGTGGCAGCACGTGGTTGGGCGAAGGGGGATTCTGGATAAGGTGGCGGATCTCGTCGCCGTATGGATGTAGATCTCCTGGTTATCCAAAAATGGGTGTAGAGGAGGGAAAGAAGGACGAATTAGACGCAACCTGAAAGAGGCGGATGTGATTTGATATGAAACGCCACAGATCACTGAAAAGTCCTGGTATATTTATAAGAAAAGAGCTTTTGAGGCGCCTCAAAAGTATGAAACGCCACAGATCACTGGAAAGTCCTGGTATGATTGAAAGAAAAGAGGTGACTTTTGAGTCAACTCAAAAGTCACCTTGTGTTTTGACATGAAACGCCATAGATCACTGGAAAGTCCTGGTATAATTGAAAGGAAAGAGCTGGAAACCAAAACTGGGTTGAGAAAACGCACCTGAATCCTCACTCTCGTCCTCATCCTCATTACAAGCCGATTCAATTCGTTTCAGGTGCTGAAACGGAGCTCTTGAGTTATCCGCAAGAACCCTACGAAACGCCCTCTGCGGCTTCTCATCTCCTTCTCCCTCCACTCCTTCCTCCTCCTCCTCCTCCTCCTCCTCCTCCTCCTCCTCCTCCTCCTCCTCCTCCTCCTCCTCCTCCTCCTCCTCCTCCTCCTCCTCCTCCTCCTCCTCCTCCTCGTCCCACTCATCCTCATCATCGAATTCCTGACTGTTTTCTTCTCCTGCCACGTGGACCTGTTCTTCTCCTCCATCTGCCCGGCGACCCTTCCGTTTCCTCCTCCTGATCTTTTTCAGCTCGGTTCCGCATCTCACGCCGCATTCGCCGCTTTCTACCCGCTTCCCGAACCACCAGCTGCCGCTCCAGCTTGTGCCGCCAGACGCGCCGTCGGATGCGCCGTAAGACGCGCTGGACCATCGAATAGCCACCCAGCGTAGTGCGACAACGGAAGTTGCGACAACGACTGCGACGAAAAGCGGCGACACCTTCCCGCCGGCGACATCCTTTAATGTCGGCAGGCTCATTGCCGACGGCAAGTTTGTAAATGAACTTCAACCAGATACATAAAAACAATAAGAACTGCTGCTTCTGAAGAAAGAACGACTTTCTGAAGGAAGGGTAGGAGAACGAATATGCTATTTCCGCACACCGCGCTTTTCACCTCAATTCACACCACGTTGAAAGGTTTTTGGATTTGGACAAATATGCTTGGCAACACTGTGTGAGGATTTGGGCCTTCAGGTTAATCAAAACGGTTGAGTACGACGCTGTGCAACGCAATACGGTAATTACTTCACCGCTTTGAATCGCAACTCACCTTCCCGATCGATGACCTCAACTGAACAAGCAGCAAGCTGAAGTGGTGAATTGCGATACATCTGTCAGAGTGAATTCCAGATATTGCGGGACAGCAAGACTTGTGAAACACGAAACAACTGCCATTGACTCAGCAGCAATACGCGCTTTGAAGTTCTCCGCTGCAGGATTAGCCTAATTGGACGCGTACAGATATAACAACTGGGTTCAAATTCACAAACACACAGGGAAAGCTAGCAACTGTTACGGTATGATACAGAGAGTAAATGGTAGAATCCAAACTGCAACCCCATCAGATCCCTTTTCTTCTCCCAAACTCCTCCGAAGTGACCACTTCCCACCCCTCGCCATCCTCGTCAAAAGCCAGGACCAAAGTGTGGAACTTAATTAAGCTTGTCCTGTGTCCCACACTGACAAACGGCTTCACCCTCTCGCGCATCATCCCATACAGCCGCGCCTCATTCGCCCCGTCCAGAGCACTCGCCGCCTCGTCCAAAAACGCCATGTACGGCCGCTGCAGAAGAAGACAAGCGAACGCCACCCGCTGCTGCTCCCCCATAGAAAGCATGTCAGAATAGTCACATTCCACAGCCAGCCCGCCCACCCGTTCAGCCAAATCGGGAAGTGAAGCCTCCTGAAGCGCGTGCAACAGCTCTTTATCAGAAAAATCTCCCCTCACACTCCCCCCTCCCTCTTCACCGCTGCTCCCCTCTCCCTCCAACCCTCCGCCTCCTCCCCCTCCCCCGCCCTCTCCCCCTCCACCTCCCTCGAGAGCATTTCCGGGGAAAACCAGCTGGTCCCGGAGCGTCCCGAGTGGCATATACTGTAACGTATTACCTTAACTACCGAGCTAACAACCATCGATCTCTCTCTAAGTCAATTGTTGAGAACTTCTCTCGACAAAGGAAGACTTGGAGAAGATGGTTGAGTTGGTTGGGATGAAACTTGGTTTGGGTTTGCCAAGCCTCAACTTTGGAGGTTTGGAACATTTCCAACTCAACCAAGAGAATGTTGAAGGTTGGAATTCCAACCAATCAGAAACTGCCAAACAAGTGTTACAATCTACTCTATCCTAAACACAACCATTGAATGGTTCTAAGTTGGGTTTTCCAACCCAACACAATTGCCACATAGGCTCCAAGCCTAGGAACCATCCCACCATGGAAACCATGGTTGGGATAGTTCCCCAAGGGGTGTATTGAGGGGGTCTGAGCTAAGCAAGTCATTCTCAACCTCCCACTCCAACAAAACAATTGGAAATGGGATTGTTTCTCTAAGTCCTTTTGGGCTCTCTCACAAGTCTCCCTACACTACTACTCCAAGTGCTTTTCATCAAAGGCATCAAGAAGATCTTCATCTCCAAGGCTATTAAGGCTAGTTAAAGCTACTATTTTGTATTGGAATATTATAAAAGCCTTGTAACCGCCATTATAATAGCCCTGGGCATTACATTGGTATCTAGAGCAAGGTTCTTCCTTGGCCTTGTGTGGCCATTTGCTACTTGGACTATTTTTTTTTTAGAGGATCCTAGCTTGTGGATCCAGGATTTCATCCAAGGAGCTATCAAGATCTTTGAAGATTTTGAAGAAATTTCAGGATCTACAAGTGGTTCTTCAAGATCTACAAAAGCTTCTACAAGATCTCCAAGCTTCAAGCTTCAATCTCCTCAACACACCATTGGAGCTTCAAGATCTACAAGGAGCTCATTTTTCTTCATCAACATTGAGAAGAAATTTGAAGAGATTAATTTCTCTTACCCACCTTTGGTGGAAGACTCTTGATCTACTTTGTGTAGAAGAGTGTACCTTCAGATCTATAAAGGGCTTGTTGAGGATTACTCTCTTGAGTATATCTTGCTCTATCATTGAGGTGATAGAGAGATTTGGCGAACAAGTCTATCTTAAGAGATTCTGTATTGGATTATTCTATAAGAGTAATCAGATTTCTTAAAGATTATTATAAGATCTGTTGAGATCTCCTCTCCTTAACCTGTTTCATGGCTGCTGGTCAAGAGATGGATGCTACTAAGGAGGTGCCCGTTGTTGGCACTGAGGGACATAATGCTGCTGCTGCTACTGACATTGATCTCAACCTTGAGGATTTCGTGGTTGACATGGAGATCAATGGAAGTGAAGCTGACCTTGAGGCTGATGCTGAAAATGAGGAAGAGGCTGGCTCTGATGAGGGTGTTTCCAATGAAACTGAAAACATTGCTGTCAAGCTCCAGACTCAACTCACGGAGCAGAATATTCTCATTGGAGTGCAACAGTGTCGTATCCAGAACTTGGAGGCTGATTCTGTTAAGCTTCAGGCCTTGATTGAGCAGCTGACCAGGGAGGTGCAGTTGATCCCTAAGGAAAACGACACCTCCAGCCTCATTCAGGACCTGCACAACACTCTTCAGTTCGTGCAGGATCAGCTCAAGAAGCAGGAGAAAAGCATCTCTGTGCTTCAGACCCAGTACAGGGAGATCCGGCGTGGAAACCTCTACCAGCCTGCTCCTGCAGCAGAGCGAGTCGCCAACGCCGCTAACAGCCGTGCTACACCTGCTGATGCACCTCCTGCTGTTCCTCCTCCTACTGGAGCACGTGCTGAGCCTCCTACTGCAGCAGCAACTGCCTTTGGCTCCTGCCCTTCGGCCCTGCCTCGTTTTGTCCATGGCAAGACCGACGTCGAGACTTGGCTCTCCATTGCGGAGGACTTTATGTCCATCCACAATGTGCGTAGCGAGGCTCGTGTGGTCGCTGCAACCCTTGCCCTGGACGACACTGCGAGCAAGTTGGTGTATGCCAACAAGCGCCACGCAGAGGCTAATGGCCATCCTTTTGGCTGGGAGGAGTTCAAAGCTGCCATGCTGGCGGCATTCCTGAGTCAGCCCCCGGCGCTCGAGGTGCGTAGCCGCCTGGAGAACATCCAGTGCGGTGACCAGCCTGTACGCGAGTACGCCAAGGAGTTTGAGAAAACTCTGTCGCTGCTGAAGACTGCTCTTCCTGAGAGCGAGGTCATCCACCAGTTCTTCAAGGGTCTCCCTGAGCACATCAAGCGTGTGCATGTTGTGCGCGGGGAGCACCAGTGGAGGACCTACAAGGAGTGCAAGGAGCAGGTCATTGACACGGATGTGAATTTCCGTGCGTACATGACTCACGCTCGTGCTCAGCAGCAGCCTAGTGCCGAAGGCCCTAGGGGGGGTGGTAACAGGACTCAGGCACACAGGGGCAGTGGCTCTTGGAAGAGGCCCTATCAGCAGAAGGGGGAATCCTCTGGGACTCAGTCCAAGAGGGCCCATGCTGGGCCTGCCAAGGATCCTCAGGATGAGGATAAGTCCCCGGCAGGCTGCCGCATCTGTGGCAAGCTCGGGCACAAGTCCTATCACTGCCGTTGGAGGAAGTCCGTCAAGAACTCCGGCAAGCCCAACCAGGGCAAGAAGCCGGATGGTTCTGGCCCTTCGGGCCCGAAGGATTTTCCGAAGTCCAACTAGGGGGTGGGTACCTAGTTGGTGAGCGAGATCGAGTAGATGAGGCTTATGTCCTTCGTGATGAGGATTTGCTAAAGCTAGAGAAGCTTGCATCATGCAAAATCGCTTGTTTGTATGCCTCTTCTATTAATGAAAAATCTGTTTTTAAAACTCGATCATACCCAATTGAAAACATCTCAATTGAATCCTTGAGAGATAAAATTTCAATCATCTCTTGCTCGTTCAACGAGTTGCCAGCAATCATGGATATTGTGGACCGTTGTGTCCAAGAGCACCCGCTCACGTCAGTGGGATTGGTGACTCGAATCGTGAAAGGAGATTTGTTCCGCCGATTTCACGAATGGCATATCCTGGCAACATGGGACAAGGGGCACCATGTTTGGTGGACCACATTTCTGTTTGGACGCGCTCACAACAAATTTAGGGTGTACTTTCGACCTCCTAAACTTGTTGTCGCTTGTCCCATCCGTCCAAGATTTCAACAGAATCTACTGTTATCTGGACGCATGAATGGGGACGAAGCAAGGATTCTCGTCGATACAGGCGCGTCGGTTTCCCTTGTTGATGAAACTTGGGTTACGACACGCAACGTCCTCGTTGTAGGACCGTCGTGTCCCATCCGCTTGGGTGACGATCGTGTCATTCCAAGTAAAGGACAGACACATATCGACATGAAAGTACAGGACTATAGCGAAACAGTTCGCGTATATGTCCTACCACTTTTGTCAGGAGTCGACCTCATCCTGGGCATGGATTGGTTGAGAGCCAACGAAGTTATTCTGGACTTCCAGTACAACATTGTCTCGTTCAACAAGAACGGAAAGGCAATCCAGTGGCAAGTCAATGATACTTTGCCCACTGAAACACAGACGCCTGAACGTCCCAGCGCGCTGTGTGTGTTGGCCAACCGATTCGGGCATTCTGTTAAGTCGGCTGATACACTATTCGTGGTACAGCTTGAGAATGTCGAGGCCTCGGAGCCAGCGATTGAGGATTTCCCTCCTCAAATGAAAATACTGGCAGAGGAATTCAAGGAAGTGTTTGAAACCATCCCTGATGGACTTCCGCCTGACCGCGCAGTGGGTCACACCATCCCTGTTGAACCAGGAAAGGTTCCACCCTTTCGACCTCTGTATCGCCTCAGTCCAGCTGAGTACGAAGAGGCCAAACAACAGATCGAGGAATACCTCAGAAAAGGATGGATTGAACCCAGTGCATCCCCTTACGGAGCACCAATTTTGTTCGTTAACAAGAAGGGCGGAGGATTACGCATGTGCGTAGATTATCGTGCCTTGAACAAGATTACGGTGAAGAACAGATACCCTCTACCACGAATTGAGGATCTGTTCGATCGGCTCCAGGGAGCTCAGTGGTTCAGTGCGCTGGACTTAGCTCAGGGGTATCATCAGCTACGAATCACCGAAGAAGATGTTCCAAAAACGGCTTTCAGAACGCCGTTCGGGCATTTTCAGTGGCGTGTGTTAAGTTTTGGCTTGACAAATGCTCCCGCGTCATTTCAGCGAGCAATGAATGATGTGTTTCGGGAGGCAATCGGCCAATTCGTCCTGGTATACTTGGATGACATCCTCGTGTACTCGAAGACCGAAGAAGAACACACGCAACACCTGAAATGGGTGTTAGGAAAACTGCGAGAGCATAAATTCTTTGCTCGATTGTGGAAGTGTCACTTCTACAAACGCGAGTTGGAATACCTTGGTCACTTGGTAGGCAACGATGGCCTCAAAGTTGATCCAAAGAAAGTGGCGGCAGTCCAACAGTGGCCCGTTCCACAGGACGTGGGACAGGTCAGATCATTTCTTGGACTTGCGAACTATTTTCGCCGTTTCTTGGAAAATTATTCCTCCGTAGTCGCCCCACTGACTGCCCTCACTCGTAAGGGTAATGCTTGGCAGTGGACCGATCAATGCCAGAAGGCATTTGAGGAGGTGAAAACCATGCTGACCAATGCTCCAGTGCTGGCTTTGCCAGACCCGTCCAAGACCTACGAGGTGGTAACTGATGCCTCGACAGTAGGGATTGGAGCAGTTCTTTTGCAAGAAGGACGCCCCGTGGCATTTGAGAGTAGAAAGCTTTCACCGGCTGAGCAGCGCTATACAACTTCCGAACAAGAATTGTTGGCGGTTGTGCATGCGCTACGAACATGGAGATGTTATCTCGAAGGTGTTGACTTTGTGGTCACGACGGACCACTGTCCGAACACCTATTTTGCCACTCAAGCCACACTCACCCGCCGTCAAGCTCGATGGGCTGAACTCCTGAGTGGGTTCACCTACGATATTCGATATCGAGCGGGCTCGACGAACATGGCTGATCCTCTGAGCAGA